TACATTTTTCCACAGAGTTGCTTTATGTTGGAACACAAAATGTTTTTTTTTTGAAAATACAGCAGTGATCCACTCTTGCACCAAATCGTGATTTGTAGCGAAAAATGCGTTTCTTAAGATAATAGCAGGCGGCCACGTTAGAGGATAAATGAAGCTGAACTAGGTTGAAAGTATGAAATGTTTATGGTAGTCTAATATGGATGATATACATCGCAGCTTTATAAATCCTGGTTTGTCGATTACGGCTGGAGTGTATTGTTAACAGATAGGGGAGATGAAAAAAACTTCGCATTAAGCAGCCGAAATTAGTGAATAAAGGTAAACCGGTCCTGCTGTCCGACCTTACACTGTAAGAATTACGGTGACAAGAATGCAGTTATAGTTGGAGGCTTTTTACGACACATAATCACTGGACAGTGCTACTGTAGATCATTTTTTTTAAATCCTTACACCTCTTAAACAAAAAAATTAATCAAATTTCAATCTAATGTCGAAATTATTACTGGCTCATAACACACATAGATGCTTGTGCTCCCAAATCTTTACAAACTAACAGCAGGATAAACTACCATCCAAGTGACAGATGGTCAGAGATAATAATGGTATGTATTTGAAAATAAAATAAGTTGAAAACTTTAAAAAGCTAGGATTCTCTATGTCACGTTTGACTTTGAGTCATCTAATACTTTATACCTTATAGTATAAGGTTAAAAAGCATATCATAACATAATAATATTTAAACAAGTGCAGTTAGAGGGGCATGTCAAATGTTCTACTAACTGGAAAAAACCATTTTGTTACAGGCGTTAACAAAATTTTTTTTGGACAAATTCTTTTTGAAAAAAAAAATTATTTCTTTGAATAATTTTAACGTACATTCTTCAGAAGAATGTATTTATAGTTTATGGTTTGTCAATCTATGGAAGATAAATTTGCATGGACCAAAATTATTACTAGGTCTAGAGGTCGCAAGCAAGTTCTACGATTTAAACAAACCATCTAAGCCTCCCTAATCCAACTCGTTAGCATTCGTTAAATATACTCACTGAAATCGTACAAACCTATCTTTCGTAAGAATACTGTTCTTTTTAAATAAAAATTTTATTTTACTACACTAGATAACATTTTTCCTAAGTATACATACGTATACTCAATGTGTTCTTTATGCCTGCCATAATATAACCGGCTGCTGGACAGTTCGCAATTGGAAATGCCATTGTTTAATTTTTTCCAGCTATTATTGCGATGTCAATATAGTGTTATGATTAGTATTTTAGAAACCATTGCAATTACCTGCTTTTATAATGCGCAACGTATTATTGATATCATTAAAAGTATGTTCTCTTTTTTTGTTCATACCCAATTATTTTGTACTACCAACTTGGCAGTTGGTGTTTCTTCTATTCCAGCTTGCTCTTTTTGATGTGTCGAAGTATTGCCTTTGTTCCTTGCGTAGATGTTATTGTTTTTATGAACGTTATTGAATAATTTTCACTTTTTGTTCTTTCCAGGGCAACTCGAAGGCATCTTAGCCTTAAACTAAAATCTTGAAATAGACACGTCGTTTCATAGCCTGAAACTTAAAACGTTTGTTACCCCCGAGAACGCTTGGCCGAGTTCGAACTCTAGCTAATATGCAATAATGTTACCGTTATGTTATCCGGATATTTGACTTATCTATATACGGATTTTTTTTTTACTTTTTTTCTTATTTTTATTTTAGCTAGAGACCTAGTTGAGCTCCTTGAAATGGTGAAAAAGTGTGCTTCAAATATTAAACGAACATTTTAGACAATATACAGTTTCCCGTGCTTGTTTGAATTAATAACTGCTGCGTTCCCTGCATTAGATTTGCATTAGTTTAAGTATATATCTTGACGTTGTTCTAAATATACAAAAAATTATTTACCAAAGTTTGTTTTTATTTTAGCTTGATGGCCCCGGTGGTGTCGCGTGGAGGCGGGGCCTCGGGGCCTGTTTCAGAAGATGATATAGTCATCAAATCAGAACCATTGATGGTTCCGGAGGATGAACCTCTTAAAACTAACCCCAAACTGCTCGCAAAACTCAAGGAGGCTTTATCAGATGCGTCCTATCGAGAAATGGTCGAGAGCACTGCGAACGTTAATACTCGCATAGCGATTGAACGAAAAATACGCCTACCGTTTCTTGGTAAGTTAGAAAATAGATACTAAACGAACCTATGGGCCGTTAATTTATCGAACTCGAAGCATTTTATCAAATCAGGCGGATAAAAAGACGTATGTAAACCATAGCATACATCAGCGTTTAGCCGGCAGCAATCACGCACCCTCGCCTAACCCGCTATGCTTTTTCAATTTTTACACAAGCCTGTTGTACTATACCCGAGCTTGGCTCACACTACACCCAGCCCAACATGAACTATCATTGGGCCATAGACGTACAGCTTCACACTTATACTGAAATATTTTTGGTATCCTGCAACGCCAATTTCACTATCGTGAATCAGCTATCCCGTTACAGTTATTGTATCTTTTTTTACCTTGCTTTAGTGATTTCGTCTTATTAGTGCAATATTTTGTTATCGGTTCAAGTGACTGATACGCTATGGCAGTAGTCTCGTTACCCGGTTGGAACATTCAAATACTTATATAGTTTTTTTTTGTCCTAGCTGTCTCGTTTTCCCATTGTCATAAAACATTTGATTCGTGTTAGACTTAATCTAGCAAAGTATTGGTCAGTTGTAGACCGACATTTTTACAGTTATCCATGTGCAATATTCCTGATTGTATTAATTGTGTTATTCCGTTAGACATAATAGATCTGGTTACAATTGTCTTAAACTTAATGAAGTTAATCTTACTCCGTGCCTGTGAATCTGTTATCTTGGTACATTTATTTTATCATTTCGTCTCCGTAGTTGGTCACTTTGCTGGGATAATTGTTCCAAAAATCTCACTACCTTATTTCAATCAATCCGTTGCCGCACTGAATGTTTTCTGATACTTATTTACTTCGAAATTACCATTAATAATGTAAATAAATTTCTTTCCATTCATACTCATGTGGGGTTATTCTCCGGTTCCGTAAACCTAACGCGCGTCTTATTATCTCATCTCTTAACATTACTTAACTAAGATCCCGTATCCTATTATAGCTATTATGGTTGTATCAATTGAAGTGTCGTGCTTAGAAAAAGTACTTATAGTAAAATAGAGGAATATCAAATACTTACTTGGATGGTTCATATTTCATCAATTATTTTGTGATATTACGACTATTTCTAGAAACAGTATTCGCACAATCAAAGAATATGAACTTTAACCATTTATATTGCATCAATTATAAACCATCTGGATAAAAATCAGTATTTTACTTTCAAATCAAACAAAAGTGAAATAAAAACTACTCCTTGAATTCAGTGGTGCACTTATATCGAAGAGCTTGAAAAAACAAACAACTTCCAACAGTGAAAAGTCAATCTACGCAAATTAACAATCGTTTTTTTTGGAAAAAACTTCGGGAAAGAACTATTTATTCAATAAAAAAAATATACCAACTATGTATGTCGAGGTGATTCAGATTTTAGGAGTAGTTTTGCAAATTACTTAAATTAGAATTACGTACCCCTTTAGGGAAAAGCGGCTGCTCCTCTGAAGAAACTATTGATGAATTGGAAGAAGCACTAATATAGTTCGCATTTGATCCATTCCTAACCAGTCGGGCAAAATTACCTATTTACCATCAAATTGCAAAAAAATTTAAAATAGGAGATTAAATATGATGCTGGGGCTATCATGCAGAACTTGAAAGGATCAGGAACATCTTGATAGGAACCTTTGAGCCAAGAAAATCGATTTGCCCAAATTGAGGTCACGCTTAATTGGAAAATAAGCTTCCGCGCAGTTGAACCAGGATGAAACCTTAATGGCCCAAGAAAAAATCGGTCCAATCCAAGTACCGTAAGAGGCCGACCTTGGCCGGACAAATCAACAGACAGAGTTTTATTTAGTAGTATATATTGGATTGTAGGAAAGTATTGACCGTTTTTCAAGCTAGGTGGTTTCAAAGTTACATAGGTAATATAAGTCGCGTCGTGCCGGCATTGGTATAATTTGAAGGCTGATATTTGACAGTAATATATATGTTAAATGTGTTAGAATGCGTTCTTAAGATAGAGCGCCCCCAAAATGAGTAATATTTTTGAAATTTCGCTATATTTTACAGTTTTATTACAGTAAAGGCACAAACGCTAGCTACGCCCACAAAACATGTGGGCTACTTATGGTAAAGGTGCATTATTGGAAGAAACGACCGAAAACTGGTTATGTTACCTGCCTTCCGGAATTCACGATGTAAATGTGCTTCTCGTACTGATGCACAAGTTATGGAAAAAATTTATAAAATTACTAAAGTTGAGAGAGATCGATTAATATTTATCCCCAAGCAGCTTAATAATCTAAAGAAAGCCGGCTAAAGAAAGCTTGATATTTATATATTAACACTAATTGACAAAGAATTTATTCGACTGAATTTACGTTTACAAAAACCTACACAAAACGCAACGAAGTCGAGGCATTTTTAAAGTGGTTAATTACCGTTGACAAAAGGTAGATCACATACTACAATAATGTGCAAATAAAGAAAAATAAAAGTCTGCTTCAGAATCTGTGGCAAAGCCTAAACCGATGCCAAAGAAGGTGATGCTATGTTTTTGGTGGTATCGAAAGGAAATCGTGGGTTTAGAATTGCTACTGCCTGGCCAAATAATCGAACCGGACCTTCACTGTCAAAGATTAGCGAGGTCAAACAGGCCACTGAAAAAAATTGAAAATTGAAATTAGTGAACAGAAGGGGGGTGGTTGCTAAGACCACTTCCATCTTCAGCTACCCGACGAAAACAAAGAACGTAGATGAAAAATTCGTGTGTATTGACTGTATAGCCCAGATCTTGTCTTATCAGAATATAGTTTCTTTTGGTCTTGGCAAAACCCGTTCGATATTTATCTAGTGTCAATAAAGAAATGCAAAAATCATGTGCTGTATTTTTTTTTTTAATCAGAAGGTTATTAGACTTAAAGGGCTCAAAAACTCATCAAATGGTACAACGATTTGTAATTTGATACATCTGAATTTTTGTTAAAATTAACGATTGTTTCGGAAAGGGAAACGTAAATTATTCATTGGGTTCTTTAGATCATCTCAACAATCACTTTTGGACTTTCTATATTCTTTTGGGCTTTTTGACCAACTTGAGCGCTTGCATTTAAGAGAATTTTCCCCTGCTATCAGCCCAAAATTTAATTTTGCTGGATTTTTTGTTTGAGCGATTTATACCTACCAATATTGCCGGGCACGCTGTTACTATTAAAAAGTTGTTTGCGGATAAAGAAATATTTCGAAATGGTTCGAGTTTCAAATTAAAGTAGCTATAGGCGAATGGCGGTTATATTTTAGTAAACATAACCGCTAAGAATGACACTTCTAGCGCATCTACACATGTTTTTGAAAGATCTGTTTTTCTTTAGATGCAGTTTTAGAAATAATTTACTAACAATTTCAGTTTACATGTTTTACACGGTCTAATTAAATTGTGTGCGTTGTTTGGCACTTTGTTTCTAACGGGGTTTGAGATTTCAATTCAACCGTTGTGAAAATCTAAAATAACACTGGTGTATTCAAATTTTATTGTAAATCATTTAGAGTTGACTTGCACAACCGCCCGAATCAGACATCGTTGCTTGCTGCTGGTAATATACTTTTCTACTACTCCAATAATTGTTAAGTAATATTTTATAATTGCGTGGGTTCTTATTCGCAGATCAGCAAACGAATCTGGCGCAAACACATAGCTGCCTAAGTTATTCGCGGCTCGAACGGTTACCTCCGCGCCGCCATGGTCAACTCGTTTGCTACCCGGCCACTTCGTGGTATAAAAAAAAGCGGCAATACCTGCTTAATGATCGGTAACTATTCTTCAGTTTTTTTTCTGTATACCTCTACTAGACATGGTAACATTGTGCTTGTAAATTATAAGGTTCCATGTTCTTATTCCATAAGCATACTGTTAGCTGCTGCAATGCAAAAAATCAATTCGATTTCGAAAAAAAATACGAAGTTTTCTGGACTACACCGTACGGAACGGAATATAGGTTAGTTAAGCTACTGGCTGCAAAGGAGCGAGGCGAGACACTGGAAGGCGAAACAGCCATTGCGTTAGTGGAGAACTCCGGCCCTTCTGGGGCTCTCGCACTTGCACCCGGAGGGATCTCAATGGATGAGGATGACACTTCGCGCGACGCGAACTCAGGGCCAGGCGCCAACCTCGGGAGCGGTGGTTCAGTAAAGAACAGCGGAAGTCATCATCTGAATGATGAAAGCAACCACTCGTGGCTTCGTGACCAACAACAAGAATTTATGGATATTGAAGGAGAATGTAAGTCGACGTAGAACAATATTCATTTGGTGTCGCTCGATTGGTCCAGACCAAAAGGAAGCAGTAACATTTGAATTATAGGGGTAGCTTTCTATACGAATCTACCTATAAAAACGACTAAGTTATACGATTATTTGTTACAATAATAATTAGGTCAAGTAATATTACGAGTCACAGTAATTAGGTTTTATACCTACGTATTTTCATTTTATATCCAGCTATCGTTTGAGGCTCAAAACTGCGCACAATTGTTAAACTAGTGTATTTCGACAGTGAGTTTATGCAGGATCTGTCTATCAAATATATATACTATATGTATTTTATACATGTATATATCTATATATACATGCAGATGCATGGGAGGAGCCAGAATCGGATTACGATGACGACCGGGACGACAGCTACGGTCCTGGTCGGAAGGATACAAAAAGAAAAAGTGGAACTGGTGGAACTAAGGCTGGTGGCCGCGGGTGTGGCCGTGGAGGCGGAACAAGAAAGGGACGTCGGGGCGGCCGAAGTGGAGCGAGCAGCAAGGACAATAGTGATAAAGATAAGGACGGTGGAAACTCGAAGGACAAAGATTCAGGAAACTCAAAAGACAAGGACAGCGGCGCGGCAGACGACAAACCATTTGTCTGCGATATTTGCGGCGCCAAGTAAGTACACAACACTGTATGCATTTAACATAAAGTCAAAAAGTATGCGTATCGACATTATTTCTATAAACTCGTGCGTTTTCTACAGGCTGAAATTACATATTGAGTCAAAAGCGAGCTAGTTATTTAAATAGATTCATTTGATAAGTCATTTCAACTCTACACACTTTTCTGTTCTTATTTCTTAATGCTTCTGTGTATCACTTGCAGGTATAAAACTCGTCCTGGCTTGTCATACCACTACACACACACTCACGGGTCGCGGCACGCTGACACACCGTCACCGGGCGCGCGTTCCACTTCGCCCGCTGCTGCTGCTGCTGCTGCAGCTGCAGCTGCTGCTGCTGCTGCTGCTGTAGGCAGAGACGACTCCCATTCAAGACAGGGCAATAGTGACGCTTCGCCTCTAGCTGGCCTTCGCAAATTTCAGGTAGGACTGTTTCCACGATGTGCCTAGTGGATAAGCCCTTACTAAGCACTGTCCGAAATTAAACAAATTTTATTAAATTTAGATTAGCGCTGAATATTTGTTAAATATTAATAGCTATTATGCCAATATCAACAGTTACGATTACCGTGTGTAATCGAATCGTGCTAATTAGTAGAAAAAGCTTGCAAAAAAAAGTGCCACATAGGTACTGCTTGACAAGCTTCTTACACAATTAGACCTGACTGAACAGTTGCCTGAATTATCATAACAGGGTCTGCTGTTAGGACGAAAAAACGTTTAATATATAGGGTAAATTTCACACAGATCGCATAAAGATCGTCTGCTTGAATCTGATGACGCTTCCAGGATAATTTTCTGTCATTCCTGAAGACAGATAAAGAGGGCGGAGGTAAGGACTCTGGAATTGGAGATGAAGTTGCCACGCCACCGAACGACCGCCGACAAAACTACTGCGACTTCTGTCTGGGGAGCGAATCGGAAAACAAGAAGACCAATAAACCTGAAGAGATGGTCAGTTGTGCAGACTGCGGTCGGTCAGGTCACCCATCGTGTCTGCAGTTCACTGACAGCATGACCGCCAACGTCAAAAACTATAGGTTTGTTATCGTCAGTTTACCGATTGAAGATTTGTATCTAGCGAAATTTGATTTGCGAACGACTAAGATATGACTGTACCAAACAGTTACTCGTAGATTTTAACATATGTATCTTTACGCGTCTATTAAACTCAAGGGCATTCAAAACGAAGCATATTAAGTACATACGCATTCTTCACATATTGTACAACTTCTGCAGTTCTATGTAGATCTCAATTGCACCAGTAACACAGGGATCCGATAGCTCTAAATAGTTTGCCTCGCATTAAGATATAGAATGCCAGATCACAATACTGAGTAACTATACGAACTTTTTGAAGTAAATAAATCCCTAAATAAACGCGCTTACGCATGTGCCAATAACAAACGAAATCCGAAGCACGTACTGGCCTGTACGTGCTACGTACTATTGTTATCTTTCATTCATCTGTTCGTTCGTTCTGTCCGTTTGTGTCGACGTGCATAGGTGGCAATGCATAGAGTGCAAGACGTGCACTCTATGCGGGACGAGTGAGAATGACGATCAGCTGCTATTTTGCGACGACTGCGACCGCGGCTACCATATGTACTGCCTCTCGCCCCCGCTTGCCGAGCCCCCAGAGGGCTCCTGGAGCTGCCACCTCTGCCAGATGGAGGCGACCGGCGTGGCGCTGCATACGGCGGCGCAGAACGCCCAAACGACAACAGCGGCAGCTGCAGCCGCTACTGCAGCTGCAGCTGCTGCGGCAGCCGGTGGCGGAAGCAGTGGGTCATCCTCGCCAGCGACTGGAAACTCCAAATAATAATAATAATAATAGTAATTATATTATTATTATTATCATTATTAAGGCAGTAAATAATAACCAGGATATACTTATTAACAACAAGACCCAGTTGCCGATTGACTACAGTAACCAACTGAAGAACCGAGCCAAACTGACCACTATAATAAGCACGTACTTATTTGTGTGTATACTCTTATGCTGTATCCATTTCTGTCTCTGATTGTTCAGCCTCTTCGTTCCGTCCGTTTGTATCGGCGCGTAGAGGCGGCAATGTTGTAGTATAACAAGTACTATATATACAGGACGAGTGAGAATGACGATCAGCAGTATTTCCAAAGCTAGCGACTAGATTAAAGGAAAAGAGTCAACAAGAGTCGCAAAAGGCGCCTATGCTCACTTATAAATGATAAAGATGTAGATGATACACTGATTATGATGTACATGCAAATGTGGCGATTAACACGAATCGTTCTTCTTTATCGTTTTAAACCATCACTTTTGAAATGAAATTATCTATTCGAAATTCTCTATAGATGATCAACGGTTCGACAGGTGTGCGATACAGATCACAGAACTGCGTATCTAGAAAGATATTTGGATAGTAACAGCAGTTCCAATGACGATTTTTAATTTACACGTTGACTAATTCAGAAGATAAAAGAATTCTTGAATTTTTCGAAATTCTGCCATCAAAAGAAATCAACAATTACCTGCATTCCAGGAAAAACATACTTTTTCAGTTTTTGTAGCTTGAAATGGGAATGTTAGGTCTTTGTAAAGATGAGGTTGAAATGGCCGCCTGTTTCTATGCTAATATCAAGTTTATAATTAGATCCTTGATGCCTTAGCTCAATAGAGACACCTTAGTTTCTCAACCATGACAATTAAGACTGTGTCCATTTTTTAATGACTCTTTTCGAAATCATCGAAAAAACATTTACATATGGTTATTTTTTGTTTTCTTTTTATTTTTAACGATGTAACAAGACTCTTAAAATATAGCTGTTGGTGGGAAAAATTATTGACACGTGGTGCACAGACTAACCGGAATTCGGAACGGTTTAGTTTATCGTACGTACCTATTTAGTCGTATTTAAATGTCACATCACAAAAATCTGTGATAGTTGTAAATGTTGGGCGAATAAAACGTAAGTATGCGTGACCATCGTATGTGCCACCGATGATAATTTGAATCCAAGAAGCATTCGTTACGGTATGTGACGTAACAGTCACCTAATAGTGACGTGTATGCCTGGAGGTAAATTTGGGAGACTGGCAGCGACTTGCGGCACACTTCAAGTAAACCAGGTCAACTCTCTGGGATAAGACAACATGACAATTCAATATGACCCCCTTTTTATTTAGAAACAGTTAAGGTTTGTTGCCTTAGCGCGAAGATCTATTGCCATTATTTTGTTCATGAATGGAAGAAATACATCTAATGTATTTCTTTACAGGATTGCAGTCTCTGTACGAACAAGGGTATTAAATCTAGCCCTGTACATTCAGAAGCCGCTCAAAGAGTATATAATATGTCATAACAATAGTCGTTGGTCTGATTTTGCACGTTCGTATTGTATATTCGTCCGTTATATGTACCTTTAAACGCCCGTCATGATCGCAATTTATCTAACTCTAGTGGTCAGCACTAGCAGCGGCAACCCAGTCATGGCAATTTGGCGTGTTCTGCTTGTGTTTACTGACAATAGTTAAAAATAGCAGACAACACTTATGTTTTATGGAAGTAAACAAAACTAAATAGTTTAAGCCTAATGTATGATTAACTCGAAGTTATGTGGCTGGTAAAGCAAACACTAGCCTTTTATATAGACTGAGTTTTTAATCAAGGAGGAAAACTATTTGCGATAGTCATCCAATCACCGTCCACTGTAAGGCACGGATTGATTTATCATAACGTATAAAAACAGGTAAGACTGTGAAAAATAAATTAACTCGTAAATTCTATGAGTGCAGGTTAAATTTAAACAAGTTATGGTGCTGTTCTGAGCAAGCGTGTACCATAACACGTTAATAACAAGCTAATTATACAATAATAATAATAATAATAATGATTATTATTATAACAAGCATGTTCTATAAAAGTGTACATTATTGAATGGGTTCGCTAATAAAGATATACGTATAAAATATGGAAATGTTATTGTTACTAATGGAGTAACAACTCTAATAGATATAATAATAGGATGGATAATCTAATAGATATTTTTAGAGGCCACATCAACAACATAGGCGGCAAATATTTTTTTGTATAATGACTGACAACGGATCTCAACTTTCGAGCTTTCAACTCCGTAATTTCAATTGTCTCTCCTCATATTTAACTTAGAAAACTAATGAATAACCCATGGCATCACTACGCGCACGCACGAAATTAGTGACGTTCGACAAAAAACAGATTTTGAGGATTTCACACATACTAAGTTAATTCCGATTGGACGGAGTTGATTTTTTTATCATTAACCATTGGGTTAAGGAGTTTAGTTAGTTGTGGGTTTGAATAGCGAGCCTTCGCCTTACTTTACGAATTTGTATCAGCATGCAGAGCTTGTCTTTTGTGTAAGTCGGCGAGTGGAATTAAATTGAAAAACAGCAAAGTTACGAGATTGCTATGATGTACATAGGAACAGTGGGGTGAATAAAAAGGCTAATGGATCGTCAAGTGCTAAGCATGTGCAGGGTTAGATGCGTTAGCATCCCTTGCACAACTGGGACCGAGGAAGTCAACGATGAAGCCCGGGAAGACATCAAGCAACAGTAGCAGCCAATGGGCTGGGCTTTTGTTCGGAGCCACAAGGCGCTGCCTCGCTTCAGTCACCTCTTGGTCAAACATCTACCGAGCACGACCAGCGTGGGAAGGACCACCACAATTAATTATGAAGATGGACCAAAGGTATTCCCAAAGGTGCACCAGAGCGCATCCCCGTGGCTCTTTGTGCAAATTGCATAACCACGATATGGTTCGCTAGGTTCATGATATCCTCTGAAAACGAATACAACGGAGTCGGCTTCATATATATATATATATATACATGTCTTTACATATACAGGCTCTTTGATCAGCCTTATGCTTTTTCGTAGGGGGAGTTAAACGGTTCGTTTTGGGGTATCACAATGCATAGACTACAAGGAAGCGACCGTGGTAGGTGATGGCGCAGTTTAGATAGGAATATGCCTATATGACGTGTCAATGGGTATTTGAAGTATTTAGATTTTACCTGAACCATTTCTCGTAACATCCAGCATAATTTTCCGAAGTTGTTTTGCAGTTAAATGTTTTAGTAATTAAGAGCTATCTACCTTCACTTGTTCGAACTCATACTTTAGATGAGCCACTGTTACAGAAGTAATTTTCTGCGCCGTCTGCTGAAGTAATGGCAGCTGGTATCATGACTGTTGCGAGCTAAGGATTTTTCATATAATAATTATTTGCGCAGTCGTGTTACCTGCTTTCAACAGGTGTATAATATATAGCAAAACGTCCATGATTGTCGAGATGATGGCGTGGTGTGTAGCGTATTTGCCCGGTAAACTTAAGACGGACGTGTCATCTGGGTTAGTATCCGAGCTCGGACATGTTTAGCTTCGTACTGCGAGCCAGTTGTCTAATGAAATGCCTTGCGCCACTGCCGGACGTAAAGCTCGAAGCATAAAAGAACCTCTGCTTTTCAATTGGGTAGCCTAAAATTACATGCACGGAGATCTCTCTGTTCTGATTTCTGTGACATAATAAAGTTTCGTTCTTAGCTGTGATGTGCTGTGCATTCTGCCGATTGATTAACTATTTCTTTTAGGAATGGACATTTTCCGTTCATCCACTTGTTTACCCTTATCACTTCAGCCAAGCAGTCGAACGGATAAAGCGGGCTCGAACCGAACATTCCGCTGTGCTCTCCAGTAGTTACTACTATAATTTCAACGTGCTGTTTGGTGTATCCATGATAAACAGATGTACAACTCCCGTTTTATTTATGCCTGTTTGTTCAGTGTTAGGCTCTTATTCGACTCTTTTTCCTACATACATATATTCTCTTTCCATCTCCGTTTAGTGCCTGACTGGCCAACTACTTAGAAAATAGACTGAGGCAAAGCTGCCTCTGTTCGGCAAGATGAAAAGAATGCACTATGGCCAATGCCACCCGCAAAAACCTAGAACCGCCGTTTTCTCTACGGTTACAATGATATCATTTGGCAACAGCAAGATCATTAGAAGTAACTTTAGCATGTGGTCGAGTTAAAGACCTATGCATCTGGCGAGTACTGTGATCTTGTTCTTTCTGAGCTTTTTTTTATTGGATCGCAGCCGGGCGACATCGGATGAATTTAAAATTAATTTGTCTTCTACTAGTTTTTTGTCGCCTTGTTCAGTATCAAAAATACGATGTGAACGCGATCAGAGCGGCTCCGTGGAATGCTAGAAGCGAAGTGCTAAAGAAAACAGAGCTGCGCTTCTAGCTGGGTTGTAGCTTGGGTGCTGTTTTTTTTTTTGCATTTATGTGAAGTTGCCCACGCACAACGAAAACAGCAGAAGACAGACTTCACCCGCGGTCCCCTAGCATCCGTACCTCTTAAATCAAACGCGCAACGTAGTTCTGCTAGACATTTAACCGCAATACAGTCCATGCATCTGTCCATACCTCTACTTGTCTAAAACTGTGTCCTTTAGGGGTATTTAGATTCAGAGTCGCTACAGCTTTGCCTTCGGAACAACTGCTCGGAAGATGAAGCCGATTAGATATATAGTGTCCAATAGACGCCACAGTCTGTTTTTCCTTCTTTTTTTGACTTAAATCGACCTCTTTCTGAACATTTTTGGATAACCGTACAGAATTTCCTGAAGGTTAGGATTCGTAGTCTTTTTGAGTTCTGTACTAAGAATGCAAAGTTAGATTTTAGGAAAACTTTTAAATTTGACTTATTTGCAAATTGGTGATAAATCGGTAATTTTCGCCCGAGAAGTTCACAATTGACGTCATCTGTGCCGCGTCAGTTTACTTCTCAAGTGCTTGAATACTTTTTTCTTCCGTAGCATATCATTCAGTTAGAGAAATGATTAATGACATATGAAGTATCTCGACGTACGTTCAGTATTGTATAACTTCTGCGGAAACACACGACCCGTTGACCCAATAAACTAACTGGATCAGAAAGTTAGTTGAAAGGGATGGGTGCAACGGGACCTGCAAAATCGTAGGAGAACTACTATGTAATAACTGAAATTTTAGGTCCGTAATTGAACCTTAGTTCATGTTAGATTTGCTTTTGATAGTTTTTTTTTTTTTGTTAGTACAAGATGATAGAATAACTAAAAAAGGTAGCGGGCTAAGCGGAATGCGGTAACTGTAACCTAATAACTTAAGGTGTACGCTTCCATTTACGTTAGGTCAGGTGAAGTCTATAGTGAAGCTAGCGCGTGTCGAAGCTATCGAGTCTTTATATAAAACAAATTCAGATTTGTTTAGCCCGAAGTAGATTTCTGAACTCACTTATCGTAATTGTTTAAACACTCTGTTGCACAGCTCTTCGTTTGCCTATCGATCCTGTAAATCCACTGCTTTGTCGCCCATTCCATTATTCATTAAATCAGTTTGATTACTTTACTTCAGTGAGTTTGTTTCGATTATTGGGGTGTTCTAATTCAGATATTCTACTATTTCAGATATTTTATGGTTTATGGCAGAAAATGACAAATTTTTGAAAGGTTTTTTTTAAAAAATCAAATGCATATAGTTAATTAACATATTCATAAATAAATAATTTCTTAATAAATTTAATAATACTTTATTCATTGTTGACTTACTGTTGCTTGCTTGAAAGTATACTAAAGTCCTTCCTGCATTACTATCGAAATCTGTGAGACTAGCTTGTCGAAACTTCTCATAGCATGAGTGTTATTACTGCAGAATTTCACCTGTGTAGGTTGCGCTCAAGATAGAGGCCGCTTCAAAACGTTTTTTTTTGCCATTTCTCATATTCTTATTGGTACCTTTTATCCTTTTAAGCATTTTGTTATTTTACTAATGGGAAGTGGTCCGGCACACGAGATGAATTAGGCACCAATGCGGTGTACGTCGTATAGGGTCGACTTCAAAGCGCGTTGTCGCAGCTAAAAAAAACTCGAACCGGTAATAAGACCCTTATCGCGGGATATACATTTCAGTAAAACAAACAAGACTGGCTTCAAAAGGCGGATTTATAATCTGGTCTTTTATTCATCCCGTGTCCTGGGTAACATGATCATGAGATGAAGTACCCTGAGTTTGGTTTCCGTTAGTAGTTTCAACTAACTACAAATATATACAGCATTTTTATTGCTTCACTGTATATTAAAAGTTAATTAGAAAAAATTATACATCTCATTTCACCTGGTAGTTTAAATGACAGCTGATTAATGATTTGTTCTAGTTGAAGAAATATCTGGAGTATTTTTAAAATTCGTAGTTATGCTTAAAGTAGTTCCTAGTACCCACAGTAGTTTCGTGTTCCAGAGGAAAAGTTTTGTTTTTAGTACTATTTAAAGCTTCAGCAACATCAACACTTTTTGAATCGAGCGCGCTTTCGTATTTTTTTGGTTCTGCTCAGAGAAAACACAGCGTACAATTGCAAGCGAAAATCTTACAGGCTGTTTTATGGTAAATTCAAGTAGTCACAAATCATGTGATACAAAAAGACACACATTAACGTACAGTTTGGTCATTTCAACATGACAGAAAAACGACTAGTCACTTCTATGCGATGCCTTCAAATTATAGCCATTTTTGCCTGCAGTATATTCTGAGAATGGCATATTAATTCTCTGGTCTAAAAACGTTGCATATCGCGATGCGACGATGACCTGATGTTAGTTCAATACATCTCACAAATGCTTTCAGAATGGAAATAACAGAACAACGTTGCCCCAGCGACAGAGACAAAGAGAGAGAGTGATAGAGGGAGAGAGAAAGAGGGCATCTAATTCGAGTCCTCTATTCACATACAGAACAGGAGCAACATGGTTTTTAATTTACGAATAATCGCTTCTACGTTTGGTTACATACGGGGAACATTTGCTCGGGTAAACTGAGGCTCTGCGAAGTTGAAGCTTTTTTGTTTTTCTTTATGGCT